GGAAAATAAGTGATAAAACCACTCATTTTCCATGAAAACATTTTCTAGGAAAACATTTTCCTTTCATACCAAACACACCCTAAAATCAATATATTCCACTGTTTTTTGTAATGTAATAAGTAACAAGTCGAATTACTTTATCAAATTTCCTAGGGAGTCAAATAAATAGCAATGTTAAATAAGGAAAGCCAGATGGTATATACATAGACCTATAAATAGCATTGGCTTGATAAGACAATGTTAAATGCAATTGATCTCAGTTGAAGTATTTGAACTTGGAGAGCATCAATTCAATCTTATGCAGAAGTCTAGTTGCTTCTTTTTCTCCAGATGCAAATGGATTGGTCCATTCCTGATAATGGTGAAGGCTGCCTGTGAAATCTGTGAAGAGCCCATCGACGCCTATCTTGTTTATCCAGTAGTCATACTCATTGTACGGATCTTCACTGAAGTTGAAGTGTAAGAATTTGTTCTCATTCCGGAAAGTGTATGGATGAACCTGGATTTGTTATTGAAACTCAGAGGACGAACGTGTAAGGAATGAAGATGAATTGCAAGATAGGAAAGAGAACAACAACAACCCAGTGTATTCCCACAAATGGGGTATGGGGAAGGTAGAATGTACGCAGCCTTACCCTTATCCTAGAAGGGAGAAGAACGTTGTTTCCAATAGATCCTCAAATAAAGAAAAGATGAAAAGAAGCACCGATAGTAATAGAAGATAGGAAAGAGAACAAGAAAGACTTATTTTGTGGAACCAACTCAACAATCCAAAGAAAGCACACAACATGCATTCCAATTCAAAACACTTTATATAAGATGTATACTTATTTTGTTTCCCTTCATTTAAAAGTAATCTAATCTTAGTTCACAATAAAATCAATAACTGTGGAAAGAGATCTATGAAAGGAATAATAAAGCACCGATTAACTTCACATGTCAACAATATCCGAGAAAAAAAATGATTGATCACATACCTGTAGATTATGGGCATGTGCTCTTGCTACGAGATCAGAAGGTGTTTGCAGATAATTGCTAGAAACAGGAATTATGTTGTCCTTCCAAGGCCCAATCCCCACCACATATTCCTTGATGAAGTCGAGATAACTGTCTGAAGTAATCTCCCAATATGACTGAAATGTAAAAAAAAAAAAAGATCACTAATTTTCTTAGTAATAGCAAAATGGTGTGACAAACAGATTTCTCCAGGGACAATGTTGCGCAGACTCTCCAAAATGCCGCCACACCAGTGTCGGATCCTCAAAAATTGCACTACTTTTGGAGAATCCGACACACACCCGGCAACATTTTCGAAGAGTCCGAGCAACATAGTCTAGGGAATATTTTCAACATGCTACGTCCCCGAAAAGAGAATGCATGTTAGAATGTAGGTTCATTTCTTAATCAGGAGAGAGTAAACTTCTATTATTTATCAAGGCTGTAGAATGTACCTGTTAACCTTTAAACTTTAAAACAAGAATCTTTTAATATTAAATGCTTTCTACAAATCTTTACCACGTCTACATATAGACTGCAGATGATAGTAGGCATTTTTANGCTTTTTTTTGTTCTTTTCTTTTCGGCATTTAGCTTTTTCTCCATAAAGATAGTGAACATCTTTGTCACATACAGTGCTAGCTAGGTGCGGGGGAATGAAAACCTGATTGGTGTCTTGTGTTGGCATATTCACGTCATCAATGAGGAAGATCTTAGGCAGATCTGTTTGATTTGATATGTAAATTAGTGACGTTGGAGCAAAAGATTGAATGAATGCAGGCTGCTTTAACCATTGCTTTGACATATATGAACCTCTGTATCCATACTTCTTCAGCGTCTCAACAAACTTGTCCTCGAATCTCTTATCGCCTGGCCATTTAACCTGTTGGAACCTGCTGTTAGCGTATAAGATAACTGAAAGTAACACATAAGGATACCGGTTTTAAAATTGAGAATAACATATAAAGGTATCAACTGATTTTCCGGCAAAACATACTTTGCGATAAAAATAAGTTTCCCCTATTTTGTAGCAGAAAGGGAAAGAACTCGCCTGTTGGTTGATAAAGACTGGATTTTTTATCTCTGGATATATTCCAACTACTCTATGGGCATCCAATGCAATTGAGATGAACTCATCAAAAGTAATAATAGAAAATTCTCCTGCATGTTAAATTGACAATAAAGACGGTGAAAAATATTGGAGGCAATGGGATGCGTTTTTCTGAAAAACTATAGCAGGAATATGCATGTTATTATTGGGAAAGGTCAATCAAAGCAACATTTTGGCTCATGTTACATATTTCAAATAGCATACATTTTCCCTATCTTATTTTCTATGCACTAATCACATATCTTCAGTAAAGAAGTGCAAACCCATGGTCAGACTATGAAAATATTTTTCTACATAACATTTGTTACCAGCACAACATTTAGAGAAAAGGTCACATCATATTTTACAGGAACCTTAGAAAACTAACCATTATATTGCTGATCTCTGAAAGGATATCTTTGCTTTACTCGCAGAAGCTTCAATTCTTCAAGGGTGAAATCAACTGCATATTGGTACAAGAAATTACTAACAGACGAAGTAATCATACATATCATATCAGTAAATAAATAGTATACAACCTGGAAGTACATACTTATTTACATTTTCTAATACACATGGTTTAAATTAAGAAAATGAAGCTGACACGAAATGACAGCAGAAGGACCAAATGTATTATCGACTTGAAAAAAACAGAAGTTAGCACGAGTGATATTGTAACATCCGTACCGAGAAAAAATCCAGTAGTGTTGACCCCTTGAACCTCATAGGTCCTCTTCCGATTAGCAAACTCCTTGTGATTTGTTATATCAGTTGTATCGTCGAGGGTGACATCATGGAAGCATATAAGAGCACCGTCTTTAGATGCTAAAATATCTGTCTCGATGAAATCAGTACCCTCTTCAATAGCTCTCTGCATAATACTAAAGTTTCAGGAGCATATTTTGCAGTTTATCTAGAAAAACAGACTGCTTCTATTTAGCATCATTTATTGCAAGCAGAAAGGTGTTATTACAAAGAGTAAAAAGCATTTCCCCGACAACTGTTGGCAGTATTTACCAATTTCATTATCAACCATGTGGCCTTAAGTGAAGCTTTGTTATTGGAGACTAGATCCGGTTCCTACTTGCTACTTTCAGAAACCGGATTGTTTTAAAAACTATATAACGATTCTGTTACAGACATACCATGTATGCTGCTGCAGTTTCTTCAGGAATTTCTCCATTTGAACCTCGGTGTGCAATGTTGTACGCTCGAAATGTTTGTAAAGGCTGTTTATTTCTATCATTTCTTCTGCCAGGAAGTGGGTAGAGAGGTCTCGCCGAGCATCCAACAAAAAGTAGCAGAAAAATATAAGGGACAACACCTGCAAAGTACATTGAGAAAGAGGTAATATTCTGTGCATACACGCAGACAATTATACTCACCTATGCTTGTCTGTCTACGGTCAACGGTTTCACACGCAAACACATGGTATATGTAATGGTGCATGTATGGTTAGAGATCAGTATATACATGAATGCATGTAATTGATATCAGCAATTGATCAACTCTGTTAATCAAATTTATTGCGGCTTGAGAAAAGTTATAACCTCATATCTTTCAATCTTAAACATGGAAAACTTTTGGAAATTAACAAGCTGGATTACTCACGCAACAACAGCTGTGCCTCCGTATCAAAACTAGGATCATTTAGCACTTATATAAGCAGTCAATTCACATTCTTTAGCAACAAGCAGCACGATAAACGTGTGAAGTATGTACATTTAACAACCAACCATTCGGTCAGCCAAAGAATAACTGAATAGTATTTGCAGCTCAAGGATATCTAAACATATCATAACAATGCTATGTATTATTAGAGAAGAACTGCAAAACATCATTTGTGGTCCTATGGTTGGGAAACAAAGGAGACTACAAATTCACCTAACATCACATGATATTAATGGGAAAAAAGAGAGCCAACAAAACTATTCAGATCGAACAGTTTCTACTCTGAATGCTAACACCTTTCTGCGGTTTGTGGCACCAAATTGACCTACAAAGTGCTGTACAAACCGAATTCAGTAACCCCTAGTTAGCATGTAAAATTCTAAAGTTACATAAGATTTTTCACCAGTAAAAGATACTAACTGATTTCATAGGTGTAAACTATACTGCATTTATGAGATGCGAGCAAGCTTTAACATACTTATCTTCTTGTATCAGTACCACTCCTCCCCATAACAAATATTGTTAATGATATCACAACAAGTTACTTTAGATATAAAAATAAATGCAAAGACAGCTGCATATAACTCGTTCTTATCCGGGAAAGTTTTCACAAGATTTGGTAATTACCAGACAAAGCACACAGGTAAAGCTCTTGACAAACTTTTCAACCTTCCCATTTACTCAAAAGTGGATTATGCAGATATCATCAACTGAATGCAGATTTTCTATGACTTATTGTCACAGTACATTATTTAAACCTCCTAATAATTTTAATTTGATTAGTAAACTTCCTAGCTGCAACATATTGGATTTGATCCAATGCAACTGATTTAGTGCACTTTGGAAACAGTCAAACAGGGATTAATTTATTAATCCAAGATTTGACCCCACAGAGTACTTAAAACCCATGAAGCAACCAACTGTCAATATGAATTCACTTAATGCAGCTGCTATATTCTAAAAGGTGTCCTAGATATACAAAATCTAAGCTGAAAAATACATTTTTTCAAGAACCAAATTACAACAACAACAACAACAACAACAACAACCATATGGAAACTAAATCTCATTTTGAAAATATTATAACATATACACATTAATTCGACCATATGGAAACTAAATCCATTTCTGCTCTATTTGATTCAAATACTATATACAACAAATACTAACAAAAAAGAAAATTACAGAGACAAAATCTCATTTTTTTGCAAGAATTGCCAAAGGGGGTTTGTAATGCTTACTTGGTGAAACCATGGAGATTGTCCCTTAAGAATTTTCCAAAGAATTGCCAACTTGTTTCAGAGATAAGTCCTACACAAGATTGAAGTTTTATTGACGTATTTTGCAGATTCGTTGCCGTGGATTAACCAGTAATTCCAAAGAATATTCTTAAAATTGGATTTTCAAATCCCAGACGTGTTAAGGTTACATAAATGCTTCACTTAAAAAATGACAGTTTAATGAGAAAAAAATAAGATTTAGATCTACGGTTAATATGATTCCTCAAGATGACTGGCATGTCAGTGTAATTGAGATCACATTTAATTTGATGGGTTGGCAACTGACAATGGGAATCGTGAACAAAGCGACGACTTACCTGATTGAGATGATGATAAGTCCAATAATGATTGGCATAAACAATATCGTTTCGTTTTAAAATAGTCCAATCAATTCCAACCTTAGGTTTCTAAACGAAAACTTATTCATCTATTTGCTTTCCATTTTTTGCGACCAGTTTGATTCGACTTAGAATTTAAGATTTTTTTTCTTCAAATATGTGTCTAAAATAAGTTATGAATATTTTTATGGTCATGGAAAATCTCATTAAAGATAAAATAAAAGATTTAAAATTAAATTATTTTTAAATATAAAAATATATAATATTATTTTTAGGATTAACTAAAAAAAGTACATAAACTAAATTGGGACGAAGAGAGTAAAAGAAAGCTAGGCAAATGCATAAGAAAAGAACTTAATTCCAAGAAAGCTTCAGTATTTAAGAAGGGGAAAAGAGCTTCAATAATAATATAATAATAATAATAATCATAATATAGTATTTAAGAACGTCGCACTCGCATCGTGAGTTAAACTTCGTTGTACCCTTGAGCAGGGGTGGTAGGGAGTTAACCTAAACCTCCTTCTCCGAAAAATTACACTGTACATATAAGGTAAAATTTGTTTTATATTTTTATATATTATATTTTGAATCCCTTGTCACTGCCCAAAAGTATAATTTAGTTGTCAAGGATGTTTAAAACCTTTGTGAGCTTGCTGGTTCAATTCTCATTGGCCATAATTTTTTCTTTTTTGAACCCCTTGGCTGAAATAATTTTTTCTTTTTTCGCGCCACTGCCCTTGAGTAGTGTAGTATTGTAGTTTGACAAAAAAGATTTATGTACTATTCCTAAATCCTAATCTTATATGCAAGTCTAGACTCTACTCAAAATCTTTGACTAATACTAGGGCTGCTTATCGGGCGGATTGGGCGGTTAATTACTTTTAACGGTTTGGCTTAACGGTTATCGGCTTTTAAATGTATTAATCCGCTAGCCACCAGATAAGATATCGGGCGGATTGGTATCGGTTTATCTCTTATCGGGCGGTTTATCGGCCTAATTAAATCTATATTGCGTGCATTAATTGTTTGTTGACCGCCTAGCATACAAATTCATAATAGAAAATTACACATTGAGTCCCGACAAACATGTCTGCTAACGCCTACATAAGAATGATGTAGTGTGTCATGTGTTGTAGAGTGAAAAAAGTAGAACACATTGTAGGCTAGATTACATCCCAAAGCAGACCACATATGAGTCCAGACATACATGTATGTTAATGCCTACCATTAAATCCCCAAGCAGACTACATTACATGAGTCCAGACATACATATGTCTGTTAACGCCTAGCATACAAATTCAGAATAGGAAATTTCAGTCTATATTCAAAGTGAGCCCAGGATACATATTTCAAAATGATTAATCCATAAGTGAGCAGAATACACAGAAATGTTTGGCCTGCAGCTAACGCCTAACAGAGCTTGAATTTATGCAGCTTCAAAGTTCAAACAACAACTTCAAATTTCTAACTTAAACTCTCAACCAGGCATTTCACGCTATATCATTAACCATACAAACAACACCGAGCAAAAGGCAGTTATGTATAGAAATAGGTATGGATTATAAGTAGTAAACAATTTACCGGAAACGCAGATGCGCTATTTCCCCGAACATAATTCAAGACAGTACTATCATCAATATTGTGGGATAAAAGTTGTGGCAACAACACTGTTGTTCTTCTATTAAACATAGACAACAGGCATTAGTTTTAAAAAACAAAAGCAGAGATGAACCATAGACAGCAGCTTAAACAATCTTATAGTAGGGTGGGAGAATAAGCTAAGCAAATAGCTGGAAGAAGTGGAAGAGTTTTTGATATTTAATATATATATGGATAAAAATAAATTTTATATATATATATATATATTCTTAACGGGTTAACGGATTATTCGTTAAGAAAATTGAATAATCCGCCCCCAAACCGATAAGCCATTAATAAAAAAATTTCAATCCGTTCCCCGTCCGTTAAACCGTTAACCCGATACCAATAAGCCATTAAGTTTCGATTTCGGTTCGATTTTCGATTTCGGTTTGGTTTTGAACATCCCTAACTAATACACCACTTTTCTTATTTTTATTATTGAATTTAATTTGTTGGTGGGGGAATTAGTTCCTGAACAGAGGAAAGAGAAGAAAGAACCATTTTTCGTGCAACTTACACTGTTGAACATAAAGTGGAAACAATCATCCTTTTATAACGATCGGAAAATAATTTGAGATGACTAAGAAAAAAGAAATTTTGACCACTTCTTGGTTTTGTGTTTTGACGTCCAAATTCAAAGCTAACCGCATTAATGGGTAAATTTTACAAATAGTCATATAACTATAATTTTTTTTCACCAAAGTCATATAACATTGTTTTCTCACACAAAAATTATATAACTATGACTTATTTTCATCAAAGTCATACAACTGTGTTTTCTCACACAAAAATCATAAAACTTTTACTAACTTACACAAAAATCATAATGATCGAAAAATATAATTTTTAGTAGTATTTTCTTATCTTGTAGTTTTTTATTTTTTATTTTTAGTTTGATAAATAATAATCCCGATCTAGCCCACCCTAAAAGTGAATAATAAATCCTTCAAAATATGATATTTCTATCTTTTATTTTCTTTTCAAGATTTTTATTCAAATTGGTAGCATTTTTATTTCAAGTGCTCTCTAATTATGCCTTTTATTTCTTTATTTTTTTGTCAGAATCTCATGCATTCCGAACTAAATTTTTTATGGGAGAAGAATTCACTTTTAGTATTATTTTAACTTACGTATATGAGTATTGGGTCAGGCTAGGTTAGGTCATTCCTATTTTAAGAGAAAAATATAAAATTAACCGGCCGACCGAAACTAATTGCGTTTGCTAACCAAAATATATATAGAATATGTATGTCATATGTATATAATACACATATATATAAAAAATATTTTATCGGCTATTATTTTTAGGAGCAACTAAAAATATACTCATATTTCTTCTATTTTAATTGGGTAATTATTTATTAGACTGAAAATAAATAAAATAAAAAAAACATAAAATAAGAAAATACTATCGGAAAATTTATTTTCCGACCATTATGATTTTTGTGTGAGTTAGTGAAAGTTATATGATTTTTGTATGAGAAAATAAAGTTATATGACTTTGGTGAAAAAAAAGTCATAGTTATATGATTTTTATGTGAGGAAACAAAGTTATATGACTTTGATGAAAAAAAGTCATAGTTATATGACTATTTGTGAAATTTGCCCGGCATTTAGGGTGTGTTTGGTATGAAAAAAAATTCTAATTTTCCCATGTTTGGGTGATCTAAATGTTTAGAAAATATTTTCCTCCAATTGGAGGAAAATGTTTTTCCTATTAAGAGAAGGGAAAACATTTTTCAAAACTCTTTCTCAACCTTTCCCACCCTATTCCCCATCCTCACCAACCCACCCCCATACCCC